TGACAGCTTGGGTCATGATGACTGAGAGCAAAGAAGCGTCACATTGATTTAAGACCATATTTATGGCCGATAAGTTTTTCTCAAGCCCTGCAGTCGTTCTATTTTACGATCTCTCATAATTTCATGTCACAATATATGGCCTCCATTGTCCAATTTATTCTTTTTTAAGATAATATTTGTTATTATTGGGGTGTATGTGTGCAAAAAGAGAGAGGAAGAGTGAACTGCTGAGAGGAGGAAAGGTAAAAGGCTCTGTTCAAAACTGTGAGCTGACTACCTAAACAGGATTTTCATCATCTTCATAGGCACACTGCCGACCTGAAGCCGGTTCCAAAAGATAGGAGGTTTCTAATATCCCTCATTTTGGTCAAGTTCGGCAGCATGACATTCATCTTTCATGGACAAGGCAATCCCAGAATTCATCATGACTGACTCAGTGAAAAATATTTGTAAGAAGACAGTTGAGAGATGATATATATATATATATATATACACACACAAGCAGTGGGGAGAAAAAGTATTTGATACACTGCCGATTTTGCAGGTTTTCCCACTTAAAAAGCATTTAGAAGTCTGTAATTTATATCATAGGTACTCTATGTGAGGGACAGAATCTGGATTTCGTCCAGAAAAATAGCATTGTATGATTTTTAAGTAATTAATTTGCATTTTATGTTGATGAATATATCTGCAGAAAGAGAAAGTTGTCTCATTTACATTCAGTCACAGAACACGGATGGTATACTCAATACCACATACTCCAGGTTTCCACTGCCGTTGGGATGCTTAATGTAGCTAAATTATTGGGAATGTAGGCTATAGGCTACAGGCAAGCAGATAAAATGGAGTAAATTATGGGATAATTAATTTTTTTTGGGTAAACTAACCCTTTAATAGTGTTCAATTGTAGTGAAGAGAGCTGCCTATAGATTGAAGATACTATGTATGGCCAGAACATTGCTAAAATCCACAGGGCCTGGATGAGGCAGGCCCAGGACAATGTTTCTGATTGTGCTCCCCAGACGACGTCCTGTTTGTGTCCATGTATGCGTGAAGAATTGATCTTAACTTGAAAGAAGGCTCTTTGATGTGACAACACACAGAGAATTGCTTAAAAAAGCATTAAAGATTAAACTGATGTAACCCTATTTAAACAAACCTTAACCAAATGTTTATTATTCAAAAGAGAGCATTTATATTTACACATATGAGCCCTTGCAGACTTCACTCACAGTATACTGCAACTGCAGACTTCGAATCAGCACTCAAGGTAAACTCTCTGATAATTAAACCGAGCGTTCCTCTAACAATGGATTTTAAAATCAAATGGGAAGGGTTAGTCGTACTCATCAGACCTGAGCTGCATCGCTCATACCTCAGTAAAGTGCTTTCTAATATGCAGCTGCCCAAGATTAGCAGGTATTTTAAGGCTGGCTCATGCTAAAGCTTTATCAGACAAGCCGGAGACCAGCAAAAGAGGAGATTATATTAGAAGACAATGGGTGTCTGTTTAACGGGAGTAAACTCCTATCAACACTCGGCTCAAGGGTTTTTTTTCTTTTCAGGAAGGACGTTTGATAAAAGCTTCTTGCCTGTTTTTGAGCACCTGGGATGTACCGGGAAATGCCAGTTTTTGCTTTTAGATAGGCCTACAACTGACAACGAACCTTTAGATGAAGTTAGTTACTTGTAGCCTATTTGTTGCTTTGAAATGATCTTACTTGTAATTTACTTACCCTTTTGTCATTCCAAATTTTGTATGCTATTATTTTCTCTGAAACACAAAAAGGAGAATTTAGAATAATTGTTGTGCCACTTTTTTTGTTTTACCATATACTAACCACATCGATTCAAAATCTATTGAAGCCATGATAGCTTATGTAATGAACAGACATTCATTCAGTTGTCATTCCCCTCCAGTAAGCTGTATACTTGAGATCTGTTTTTACTGGATCATTGAATCAGATCAGTCTGATTCTTGAATTTTATGAATACGACTGATTCAACAGTTGTTAAGTTAGGGTGTGTTCACATTTGGTATGTTTGGTTGGGTTTGGTTTCGGGGCCCGTTGTGCTCGGGCTGAAATGCAAGCCTCTACTCTTTTGTGAGAGGAAAAAAGTCCTCAGATGCTGAAGCGAGCAGGGAGAAACACACTCAGACAGATCACTGCACAGATCAGCAGGCAGTGTGAACTCGCTGGAGCACCGGAGAGTCGCTCGTCTCGTAGAGAGGAGTCAGAAATGGTTGTGGAGGCTCCAAAGCGAAAACATGTCTGCATATTGCCGGCGTCTTCCTTTTTTATACCCACTAGGTGGGGCGGACCCCCCAGACCCATGGCATTTTTTTGCCATTGGCTCGTTTTGTAATACTCAAAGTCGATAGGCTTTCTAAGCGAAATCACATTCGTCGCCAACGAAAGGGAACTTGAGTTTAACAGCTTACTGGAATAGGAAGATGACTTTTTGATTGATTTTATAATGCATATTAATTTATAAACAAAATGTAATTATTACTGATCATGGACAATTAATTTTGTTTATATAAACTATTTTTTTATATAATATATAGACTTTTGTGGTGTTTTTGTATTTTGATACAAGTACAAATTCTAAGTACATTCAAATTTGCTTTGTTTTGCTTTTATTACTTTGAATAAGACTCAAGTGGCATTGATACCCTGTTAAATCCGTTTATCTAAACTCATCTATCATCTTTACTTTGTTGCATCCATCAGTATTGTGCTGCCCTCATTAGGTGGCCTTCTGTAACAGCAATAGACTGTACGACGGTGATTTCTTTTTCCATTCATTAGTTTGATTTTTAAATGTAGGGGGCGATATGGTCTGTGTATAAATATACATGCTTGATGTATTTGTGTGTGCAGTGTGTCCATGTGGTAATCCTCGAATCAAGGTGTCCGTGTCAGGCTACCCACCTTGGCACCATGTGTGTGTCTGTCTAGAGCGGCACAGATGGAGCCAGTGACGGGATTAGGGAAGATTTTCCTTGATTTAATAAACAACTAGGCTCAGAAATGTAAGGGATAAACCTGGGCACACAGAGGCACATCAGAGAGCCGCCACACATCGGTGCAGCGCTTTCATGAGCCCAGGCGACGCATGTCCTACTTACACTCCCTCCAAAGTCCCAGGGTAGGATGAAGGGGAATATTGAGCTTTTACCACTAAAAAGATTAAGAGTTGACAAAGTGCAACACAAATCTGGCAGACAGAAACAAGTACAATACTGTTTTGGGTAATATGATTGAATCAGAATCCAAAGTAATTTTTGCTCCTCTAAATATCCAAGGAAAGCTTTTAATACATTTATATGCTCATCTTTAGTTCGACTATGTTTAATATAATGTGCAAATTTTCAATCAATCAATCAATCAATCAATCAATCAACGTTTATTTCTATAGCGCTTTACACAACCGTCAGGTATCCATAGTTCTTCACATCTTAAAAAATAATAAAACATAATAAAACAGCATATTATACAAAAGATACATATAACAAAAAAAGGAAAGAAAAAGTCAACATAAACAAGAAAAGGAAATTGTCCCACCACTACTGTGTATTAAAAGCCATTCTAAATAAGTGGGTTTTAAGTTTAGATCTAAAAGTAGTTTAATCCGTAATTGTGCAAATTTTGGGGTTGGTAAGTCTTTAATGGTCTCCTAGGCTGCATTTATTTGATCAAAAATACAGTAAACATTCATATTGTCATCTAGTCTTCAGTGTCACATGATCTTTCATAATCATTAATATGCAGATTTTCTGCTCAAGAAACATTTCTTACTACTAATAATATAATAATTAGTATTATTTTGCTGATGTGATTATTTAATGTATAATTCCCTTTGTGAGGTGAAATAAGCATAAATGATAAGGAATGTGGATATGTTTAGATCCGTTTCCTAGAGGTTTATCTTTCTGTGAGATTATGAATGAAATCAATCCAGCAGTGAAAGCGTTTGTCAAAGGAGCTGTCGATTACGTCATCTTTAAGTTCAGCTGAGTTTGACTCCTTTCACGTGAGCCAGGAGAAAGCGTTGCTAAATTGAGCCGTGGATTGTTGGAGGAGGATTACTAGACCAGATCCACAACAGAAATTAAAAAATGGTGGTGCAATCTCATGAGCAATAACAAAGCAGCTTGAGGGCAGCGTTTAGCCTAAAGAAAGAAACCGGCGTCTTTACGTCACAGACAGATTCAGTTTAAAGCTGAAAGTAATGGGAACATAGCAGCAGTGCAGCGCAGCACAGCTCAGCAGAGCTCCACCATCACGTTTATCTGTAAGTGAGGGATCTACCGGCAAACTGGCTGACCAGGACCATTGGGAATGCTGGGATCAGTTGATCCACCTCCAGCTGAGCAGCTCAGGAGACTTCCTGCCCTGTGAGTGATCCCTGCTTAAATTAGTCACTTCATGGTATCAGCACGTTTCCTTCAGAATCAGTGGAAACATTGCATGTGTGTGTGTGCAATAGATGTTCATATTCAAGAAGATTATTAACTAGTTCATTTTGTTTTATATTTTCATATATCTTGCGTGCTTTTTCTTGCTCATTGCCCAAACTAGGCTGCCAATTCATTGTGGCCTCTTGTTGTTTAACGCGAGGAGAACATCAAATACTTAAAATTACTTTAATTAGTTCTTTTCAAATTAAGTCATACCACAGCTATGGTCGAAGAATATGGATGCATTTACATTTTGGTTTTGTATAATACGCATTTTTTTTCTACAGAATTTTCTAGAAAGATTTACCTTATTCATTTTTTCAGTACATGATTTTTGGGAGCTGAGGGGCTGTAAAGGTTCCCTTTGTGTGTTTTTCTTTGGATGGATGGATTAGGAATTTTGCCTGTGTAGGATTATGATTTTTTTTTTAATGTACAATTTTATGTTGTCACCTAAAAGTCATGCACTGTTGCTGAACCTGCCCTCTGTTCTCCAGGATAAGTCCCTTCAGTGGCTGTTTCATTTCTATCACAGGTGATTCTCAGCAGGTCGAGGTGCCACGGAAAGAAGTAGAAGTAATCATGGGACAAATGGTTGTTCTGGAGGCCTGGTACACCCCCACCACCTCCATCGAGAAGAACACAATCATCTGGACCTTCTGGGGCAATGATTCCAAACAAGTGAGTATGTTTGAAATATATATATATATATATATATATATATATAAATGGTAAAAAAAAAGGTAAAAAAAAAAAAGGTAAAATGGTAAAAAAAAAAATACCAAAAAACTACCAAAATCTTAAAATCTCTACAAATATTTTAAATACATTTACATTTTATACTTAATGTACTGCAACTATACTATTTATTGACATGTCTCTTAAGACTTACTGATATAAAATTAAAGTTTATTTGGAGTATTTCTTTATTTTACAATGCACATTGCACAATTCTTAATTTTGAGCCTAAAATGTGCTTTAATATCATTATTAATAAGGATTGTATGTTCTCTGTATAATATCAGTCTTTAAATGCAAGATATTTAAAGTGTACCTTAAGTATACATGCAATAGTTCCACTTTAGCACCATCAAGTATACAGTATATATTTGTGTGTGTCTGTGTATAATATATATATATATATATATATATAAATATATAAAAACACAATATCTTAATGTTAAGTTAAGTAGATTTTATTTGTCAGCTGACCATTGCCTGTCCCCCTTTTAATGTCATTGTGAAAAAAAGAGGGGCGGATTACATGAGAGCAATCTGTTGTTCTCCATCACCAAACTAATAAATGACATGAACCTAACATGTCAGACCCCTCTGCATCCTCTTATCACATGCAGGCTCACTCAACAGATGGGTTTCACTTTAATGTCACAGGAAAAGTATGGAACACTTTGAAAGGTCAAAGTCTGCTCATGGAATTACACGCAATGAATTTGATGGATGGCCGAGAAGTGGATTAACTCGAGCCGTTATCACTGAAGGTTTTATATTGCGATGTAAATGTCAGCTAATACACCCTTGAGGTGTGATAATGTGTACTGCACATACGAGACATCACATGCTTGAACATTCAAATTATATTTCCGATGCTTACCATAATCTGTAGTTGCACTTGTTTCCCTTTGCCTGTTAGCTTATAATAAATAAATGGAAAATCAGCCTAAAATTCGAACTTGACCATCTGCTCTTGCACCCGAGGATTATCTTTAACATGACGGTTAACCTCCATCATTATCATCGGCCACTCGCTAACCCGTGGCAGAAGACTTTCATTTTAATGTTCTTGACCATATGAATACTGATATGCAATGATAGAGGTCCAACAGCCAACTAGCCTATTAGTTTACCTATAGGCTACTGTGGATTTTAATTACCATACTTATTTTTAGCTTCAAATTCTTAGTGTTGCCTTTTTTTTATAACATTTTTAACCTGTTGAAAGGCTGCCCATATTTTGCATCTAGTATGTGCTATTTTTCTTCTTCTTCAAGAAATTAGTGTCATTCAGAAAAAGTGACACTAAAGGCTTTTACATTGTTGCAAAAAAAAGAGTCTTTTGGCCCTGTTTATATCAGGTTTTAAGATGGTCGGTCGGATAATTAATACAGGGGTAAACAGGGTCTCAATAGCTTGAGCCACTTTAAGAGATAGTCAAAAGCACATTTGCCTGGATTGCTTGTGGTCAAATGCTCATATTTTGACACTGTCTTGAAAGACAGATGTTTCATGTCCGACAAATGGATTGGCTCGAACAGGGCACCTTTCATGGCTTCCAAAGTCTTGTCTTATGCTCACCTTACTGTATATGAACGCATCCTACGAAATATCTGATTGGTTCAGACAAACAATAGGCAAATGTGTAATATTGCAGAAGCCTAGTTGCTTGTTAAAGTGTCTCTGTGTGCTTTTGCACTACAGGTTATCTCCTACTCCTCTGGACAGATTGGCATCGGTCATCCTGACTTTCGTAAACGGGTGGGTTTTTCCATGTCTATGCCTTCTGCCAATCTGTCCATCTACATCAACAACACACAGGAGTCCGACTCCGGGCGTTACGCCTGCAATGTCGTCATCCCAGGAGCTATAGGCCTGTTAGGTGAACTACACCTCAATGTTAAAGGTACGTTGACAAAATGTAATGTTTTTACTAGCATATTTAACTGTCTATCTCATGACTTCTTTCTCTGTTTGTTGTAGTTCCTCCATCCCCGCCCGTATGCTCTATGACAGGAAAACCTGTACTGAGTGGCAACGTAACGCTGAGCTGTAAATCCAGCTACGGGAAACCTGTTCCTCAGTACAAATGGACCAAAGCAGCTCCTCTCTCTGAGGTCTTCTTCTCTCCCATGCAAAGTGAGTCTCCTGCATCTGTATGAATGTCATTGTTTGCATTTAATCTGAGAACAAAATCAAGAGGTTCTTCATCTACTAAGGACAAATTCACTGAAAGGTGTTAAATTTGCTGTATGGATTGATATATGTTTGAATGGTTGAAATGTGGTTAATTAGAGATGGTGCACTACCATTCAAAATTTTGGGGCTGGTAAGATTGTGTAATGTTTTTCAAAAAAAAAAAATCTGTTATGCTCAAGACTGCATTTATTAAATCAAAAATATAGTCATTTTGTGAAATGATGTTACAATTTAAAATGTTTTAATATATTTTAAAATGAATGCTGAATAAAAACATTAATTTAAGTCATTACACTTTAGCAAACCACAAAAAACTAGCATAATTGTGCAGTAAAAATACAATTGATCACTGGATGTAAAATTAAAGGATTAACATTGATAATATCGTTACCTCAAGATCATCCGGTCATCAACAATTATATAATACAGAATTTAATTTAATAAGCAATTATATCGTGTTGGAAAACTAAAGAAGTTGTAATAGAAACCCATTCAGGGTACAAATTATTTGTTATGCCGTATTAAAATGATTTATCAAAAAACAAGTTCTACTTACCACACACACATAAGTGTGTATACAAAAAGAATTATAATGCTGTTCATTTATGACTTCAATTTATAGACCAACTTCGAGGGCTAATTCACCATGTGATCCCTCAGGAATCATGAGTTTACATGCTGTACAAATCAGTCAACCGGTTTAGACTTTACGTAGTTACTTGTTAGCAGCGGACATTTGGAGTAAAAACCAGTTTCAAAATTCATGTTATTTGAGTGTGTAATTGACGTTGCAGAACAAAACTTGAAAGTCTCTTCAAGTAATGTTAACCACATTGCTTATTTTACTCCATACTGCAAATAAAAAAAAAACGCTATTTTAAAAACCCATGAGTCGTGACACTCAAATGCTAATTCTATCTTGTTTTAGTGTTTCAAAGTGAACAAAAGAAATTAATACTTTTTTCAGTAAGGAGGCATTAAATTGTTAAAGTTACCAAATCAGCATATTGGAATGATTTCTGAGGCATCACGTGACAGTGAAGACTGATGAAAATTCAGCCATCGCAGGAATAAATTACATTTTAAACATGTAAAATTGTAATGATACTTTACATATTTACTGTATTTTGATCAAATAAATGCAGCTTTTGGTGAGCATAAGACTTTTAAAAAAAATCATACTGACCCCAAACGTGTGAACAGTAGTGTATGACTGTGTTATTGTAGTACTATCACGAGGGGCTGATTTTCTCTGTACTTGATGAGAGAGGAAGAGCACAGGCATCATTTATCACAGGTTTATCATGTCTCCCTCTCATTGGCCTGAGGTGGAAATCGCTTTGTTATGCAGAGAGACACATTCCCATCAGCTTCTGAACACAACAGGTTTAACCTTGACTGTTTGCCTGAGGAATGTCTTACGTTTCAACAGTGCTGGCACATTCTCTCAAGTATAAAGCATGCATTTTTTAAAGCATGCAACAGTTGCAGAACTAGAAAGAAACATGCGTTTAGTTTCCAATGTGTTTTTCCAAAATATATCATGATGATTTCTGTTGACATGTCAGTTTTGATCAGCACAAATCTTTGGTCGAAAATACACTGCGTGCCAGCTGTTCATGAAAGCAGGCTTATACTTATCAACCATGCAGCAAATTTCCTCCTTGATCCCAGGCACGTGGGTCTCTCCTGACCGGAGAGTCCTAAAGGAGGCGAGGTGCTTGGTAATACTCCCTTCAGGAAAAACAAACGTATCATGTTCTCCTGGTCATCTGTCTTCCTCTCGTCCTCTCTCTGTTACTCTCATCTGCACATTCACAGAGTGGAGGTCCTGCCCCCAGCCTGTGCTTGTACTGGGATACCTGGGTAAGGGAACAGACCCTAGGATAGACAGAACTCCTTTAGAAACACTCTTTAGAGCTACATTAAATGTGCGGTTCACTCTTGCAGTGTTGCTCAGTTTTTTACTGGAATAAAAAAGAAAAACTGCTACTGCTTGCACTACCATTCAAATGTTTTTTTTTTTTTAATTAGCGCAATATTTTACTTTTATTCAGCATGGATGCATTAAATTGATCAAAAGGAACAGTCAAGACATTTAAATATTGTAATAATTTTTTTTGTTCAAATAAATGCAGTTATTTTGAACTTCCTGTATTATGGTTTCACAAAAATAAGCAGCACGACTGTTTTAAACATGGAAAATAATAAGAAATGTTTCTTGAGCAGCAAATCAGTATATTAGAATGATTAATCATGTGAAGACTGGATGCTGAAAATGTAACTTAAATTACAATTTGAAATAGTTCTGAATATTACTGCTTTTACTGTATTTTTGACCAAATAAATGCAGCCTTGGTGAGCATAACATCTGAACCAAAACTTTTGAACGGTAGTGTAATTTTTAAAAATGATGGTACTTCAGAGAAATGTTTACAATTATGTAACCTCACTTTTAAGGGACATTGTCATTTGCAGTCTAAATGAATCATGGCTGACTGTGAACCAAATGCTGTTGATAACCTGAAAACTAAGTCCGTTAGTCCACCTTTAAAGGGGTCATGAACTGGCTTTTTAAATTTTATTATATTGTTGTCTGAGGTCAACTTATGAGGTTTGCTTGGTTTTTGCATTCAAAAACATCAAAATGAATAAGTAATAGGCTATTTTTTTACCCTAGTTGTGAGCCCAGCTCAAAAACGCTCGGTTTTTATGGGCGTCTCGCACTGACGACTTGGAAGTAAACGCCCACTGCTGTGAGTTGATAACAGTTTTGCATATTATAATGAGTTTCAACTCACCCATCGATGCACGTGGGGGATATTTTTTTGAAAACTTCCAATATTGTAAAATGGCAACCGGAATGATTCGCCCATACATGTTCGACCCAGAGTTTGTGTGTTGCACCATTCCTGTCAGATCAATATAGACGGCACAGCACCGTTCTTTACTCTTAATTGGTCTGCAAATTCAGTCTTGTTTACAAAACAATCCTCAGTGAAATGAAGCAAAAAGACGGACAATGTTGATCCGGTTTGGTAGGCCATCACGAGGTAGGCCTATGTTATTTAGCTATGCGTGTCATGTGCGAATCGGTGGGCGGGACTAACGGCCGTGTTGAAGTAGGCGTTGATCTTCTTCTGCAGGGGTGGTCTTTTATCCTTTGACATCATAGTTCCCCTCTTTGAAGAGTCATTTGCTGGGCCTGGTGTCAATAAAAGCTTTTATTGGACTAACAAGGACGTTTTCAGTTCTGAAACTCACACGATATTCTTATAATATGATGACCTCTTAGATGTCAAAAGCTCAAGGAAAATTTTAATTTCTCAGTTCATCACCCCTTTAAAGATAATGTTATAATAATAATATATGAAGTGATATATGATATAATCTTTGTTATATCATTGTTAAAATATTGTCAGATATAAATATATAGAAACGTGCCTGTCAGAGTTCGAATCTGGCTAGGGTTACTTCCCGATCCCATTTGCTATATTCTTCATTTCATTTCCTGTCTCATAACAGCGGCGGATCATCATTCTGTGAAAAACATGCAATGCTCATACACTATTTTGATAACCTTCACAGAATGAAGTTTATCATCTGTCAACAAAGACCGCAAAAAGGACAAAAACAACAAAAAAGCTTAGCATATATATAAATATACATAAGCATTTTTAGCAATCAGCCATTTGTATCAATGTGTGTCAGTGAGATTAGAGTCATTCAATATCCCAAGCATATCAGTCTAAAAGCATATCAAACATCATCCTACCCCTACCCATTTCATCTTTTTTTGTTCCCTCCCATTTTTGAAATTATGAATCATGTGGTTCTGTACTATTTGTGTATTTTGTTAGAGAGCAAACATCAGTCCTGTGTCTTGTTATTTGTTCAATGTAGAAACATCACGTCCTGATGTATCTTTGAATGAATGGTTTTTATGAACATACCATTGAAGAGTATTTTTTATGAAGCCAATCATTTTAAGTGACACTTCATTAGTATAAAAGTGCCTGTAAAATCTGTGAAGCCCAAACTCCGGTCCCTGGGCGTCTGTCCTGGGCTCTGGGTCACTGAGGAATTTGAGTTTGGCTGCTCATCACGGCTGGCCAGTCAGTGTGGACAGAAGCTACAGCAGCAGATGGTCCCACTGCACTTTCTGCCAACGCTATCTAGAATAATGGCCAAAATGTAATGTTTGTTCACTGTGTTTGTGGTTTTAACTCCCCATCCTTCTTGCCACTGACATGCAGTGTAAATAGGAATAGTATTTAATATAATATAATATAATTTTGATTTAAAGCTCATTTGTATTATTATTATTACTGTTATTATTATTAATAATAATAATAATAATAATTGTACATGCAGCTGCCACACACAAATGTAATTCGATTGCAATTATAATATTTTAGTATTTTATTTATTATTATTTATTGCAAAACTCTGCAGCGCTTTTCAATGTCTCTATCCATGATATTGATCCATAATAGAATGATGATTGGATGAGGGATGGATGTATGAATATCTACCTATACAGATGCACAAACAATATCAAACTATACAAATAAAATTGTACTGAATTATGTGTGTTACACACAAGTGTTACAACTAACCCATCTGTCTGTTACAATTAACCCCGCATCGGGTAACATTTGCACTTCTGTCACTTCTGTCACAACTGTACGAAAATGGTAGGTCCTAGAAAAAAACTTTAAGTGTTCATTTGTAGCAGAGATGTGTATGTTGCTTGTGTAAAAAAAACTTAATCTTAACCTAATTATTTTTTAATTAATTGAGCCAAAACCAAAATGCGTTAGGTTGTGCCCCGCTCTCCCCTACCTTGCGCATAGGGATCTCACAACAGCCGGAAGATAGACATGGAGTGGTGAACTCTATTAGAAACACTTATTTGATGACAGATTGAATGTTGGATTCTGTTTTCAGATGAGAGGCAGGGCACCCTTCGACTTAGCAACCTCACCAAAAGCATGTCCGGCAAGTATATTTGCCGTGCCAGCAACACGGCTGGAACTGACAGCTGCCACATCAATCTTGAGGTCTCCACCCGTAAGTATCGGTCACAAAGGTTGATGTCACATTTAATATTGCCAATTTCCACACTCTCTATATTTGTAACTGTTCCTCGTGTGGCCGCAGCTAACAATGTTTGGGTCATCGCGGGGGCAACGGTGGGGTCTGTGGTGGGTCTGATGGCTCTCGTCTTATTCCTGATCTTTATCCTGAGGAGAAATCATGACACTGAGGATGAGATAGCTAATGATATCAAGTAAGAGCCAGTCTTATATTTCTTCATAATACAGTGCCGGACTGAAACAGAATACTTTTACATAATATCTCTACTTAAGTATACTGTATATTTATCAGAGTGTTTTTATTGTATTTACATTCCAAAGTGTAAAATCAAACTTTTTTTACTTGACGACAATCTGTATAATCTGTTTTTATAATTTTTCACCACATATTTACCCAAATTAGTTTTCCCTCTTTTTAATATATATATATATATATATATATATATATATGGATATTATTTCACTTGTTTGTACACTTGAATTATCAGTAACGTAAATTGATAATTTAGTACATTGAAGTTTAAACTTTTGATATTGTCACAGTCTTCGTCTTCACCTGTTTGTCTCGTCATCTGCACCACGCTTCCCCGGATCCTTTTGTTTCCTCTCCTGATCTCACCCCCTCATCAGCCACCTGTTCCTCGTCTGTTCGTCATCATTTTCACCTGTTTGCACTCCATTTAGTTTGATTCCTCTGTCTATTTAGTTCCATCTGATTCAGTCTGTCTTTGTCAGTCGATGTTCATGTTACCCGATGTGTGCTCCTGTTTACCTGCCTTCCTGCCGTATGTTTATAATAAATTCGTGTTTGATGTCAATCTGGATTCCTCCCGCTCCTTCGTCCTGCACTCCTGCACCCCTGCACCACACCCCGTGACAGATCGACTGACCAAGATTTAACTGAGAGTGATGGACCTTCCAGCGGTGAGCCTCCTCTGTTTGGACCAGGAAGACCGCTCCCTGGAGTCCCATACCAGGGACTTTCTGGAGTTGGCGTTCCACACCCACTACCCGGACCGCTCGCTGTGTGTTTTCTACATCGCCAGCCTCAGCGAGCGGACCCGGGCACGCCTCCCAGGGAGCGGTCCAGCCGATGACTTCCTTGCCTGTGTGGAGTGGGTGCTGGTGTGCTGTGAATCCCCATTCTACGTGGAAGAAGTCACCAGCACCACTCCAACCCCTGAACCCTCATCTTCTCTGGTCACCGTCAGCCCTGCCGAGTCCGCGCTCACCGTCAGCCCTGCCGAGCCCGCGCTCACCGTCAGCCCTGCCGAGCCCGCGCTCACCGTCAGCCCTGCCGAGCCCGCGCTCACCGTCAGCCCTGCCGAGCCTGCGCGCACCGTCAGCCCTGCCGAGCCCGCGCTCCCCGTCAGCCCTGCCGAGTCTGCGCGCACCGTCAGCCCTGCCGAGCCCGCGCTCACCGTCAGCCCTCCCAAGTCAGAACTCCCCTCACTGCTGGTTCCGTCCAGCTCTCCAGAGACTAAATGCTCTTCACCGCAGGTCCCGTCCAGCTCTCCAGAGACTAAAGGCTCTTCACCGCTGGTCCCGTCCAGCTCTCCAGAGACTAAAGGCTCTTCACCGCTGGTTCCGTCCAGCTCTCCAGAGACTAAATGCTCTTCACCGCTGGTCCCGTCCAGCTCTCCAGAGACTAAAGGCTCTTCACCGCTGGTTCCGTCCAGCTCTCCAGAGACTAAATGCTCTTCACCGCTGGTCCCGTCCAGCTCTCCAGAGACTAAAGGCTCTTCACCGCTGGTTCCGTCCAGCTCTCCAGAGACTAAATGCTCTTCACCGCTGGTCCCGTCCAGCTCTCCAGAGTTTGAATGCTCTACACCGCTGGTTCCGTCCAGCTCTCCAGAGACTGAATGCCCTTCACTGCTGGTTCCGTCCAGCTCTCCAGAGACTAAATGCTCTTCACCGCTGGTCCCGTCCAGCTCTCCAGAGACTAAAGGCTCTTCACCGCTGGTTCCGTCCAGCTCTCCAGAGACTAAATGCTCTTCACCGCTGGTCCCGTCCAGCTCTCCAGAGTTTGAATGCTCTACACCGCTGGTTCCGTCCAGTTCTTCAGAGACTGAATGCCCTTCACTGCTGGTCCCGTCCAGCTCTCCAGAGATTGAATGCTCTACACCGCTGGTTCCGTCCAGTTCTTCAGAGACTGAATGCCCTTCACTGCTGGTTCCGTCCAGCTCTCCAGAGACTAAAGGCCCTTCACCGCTGGTTCCGTCCAGCTCTCCAGAGACTAAATGTTCTTCACCGCTGGTTCCGTCCAGCTCTCCAGAGATTGAATGCTCTTCGCCGCTGGTTCCGTCCAGCTCTCCAGAGTTTGAATGCTCTTCCCCGCTGGTTCCGTCCAGCTCTCCAGAGATTGTATGCTCTTTACCGCTGGTTCCGTCCAGCTCTCCAGAGACTTTATGCTCGTCACTGCTGGTTCCGTCCAGCTCTCCAGAGACTGTATGCTCTTCGCTGCTGGTTCCGTCCAGCCATCCAGAGACTGAACGCTCGTCACTGCTGGTTCCGTCCAGCCCACCAGAGACTGTAAGCTCTTCACTGCTGGTTCCGTCCAGCCCACCAGAGACTGTAAGCTCTTCACTGCTGGTTCCGTCCAGCCCACCAGAGACTGTCAGCTCTTCACTGCTGGTTCCGTCCAGCCCACCAGAGACTGTAAGCTCTTCACTGCTGGTTCCGTCCAGCCCACCAGAGACTGTAAGCTCTTCACTGCTGGTTCCGTCCAGCCCACCAGAGACTGTATGCTCTTCACTGCTGGTTCCGTCCAGCCCTCCAGAGACTGTATGCTCTTCACTGCTGGTTCCGTCCAGCTCTCCAGAGACTATATGCTCTTCACTGCTGGTTCCGTCCAGCCCTCCAGAGTCTGTGTGCTCTTCACTGCTGGTTCCGTCCAGCCCTCCAGAGACCGTCCAGACCGTCCAGCCAGAGACCGTCCAGACCGTCCAGCCAGAGACCGTCCAGACCGGCCAGCCAGAGACCGTCCAGCCCGTCCAGCCAGAGACCGTCCAGCCCGTCCAGCCAGAGACCGGCCAGACCGTCCAGCCAGAGACCGGCCAGACCGTCCGGCCAGAGACCGTCCAGACCGTCCGGCCCGAGACCGTCCAGACCCTCCAGCCCGAGACCGTCCAGACCGTCCAGCCCGAGACCATCCACTCCCCATCTGCCCTTCACCCGGGGCCTCAACCCAAATATTTTTTGGGGGGGGGCCCAGTGTCCCAGCCACGGCCGCCTGAAGGGCTCTCACCGCCGTGGCCGCCCGAAGGGCTCTCACCGCCGTGGCCTCCCGAAGGGCTCTCACCGCCACGGCTGCCTGAAGGGCTCTCACCGCCGTGGCCTCCCGAAGGGCTCTCACCGCCGTGGCCTCCCGAAGGGCTCTCACCGCCGTGGCCGCCCGAAGGGCTCTCGCCGCCACGGCCTCCTGAAGGGCTCTCTCCGCCGTGGCCACCCGAAGGGTCCTCGCATCCTGCTCCGCCCTGGCCACGCCCTCATCCTGCTCCGCCCTGGCCACGCCCTCATCCTGCTCCGCCCTGGCCACGCCCTCATCCTGCTCCATCCTGGCCACGCCCTCATCCTGCTCCGCCCTGGCCACGCCCTCATCCTGCTCCGCCCTGGGGGGCTGCCTGCGCCTGACCACGTCCTCCACAGCCTCCAGGGCGCCCACCCCCCCTCCCCGCTGATGTTACGGCGTGAGGTCACGCCTACCGGGAGGGGGGAGTGATGTCACAGTCTTCGTCTTCACCTGTTTGTCTCGTCATCTGCACCACGCTTCCCCGGATCCTTTTGTTTCCTCTCCTGATCTCACCCCCTCATCAGCCACCTGTTCCTCGTCTGTTCGTCATCATTTTCACCTGTTTGCACTCCATTTAGTTTGATTCCTCTGTCTATTTAGTTCCATCTGATTCAGTCTGTCTTTGTCAGTCGATGTTCATGTTACCCGATGTGTGCTCCTGTTTACCTGCCTTCCTGCCGTATGTTTATAATAAATTCGTGTTTGATGTCAATCTGGATTCCTCCCGCTCCTTCGTCCTGCACTCCTGCACCCCTGCACCACACCCCGTGACAGATATAGTGAATTATAAGTTTTGGTGATTAATAGGTTTGCTCAATACACATTAAATGTCTGCACTAATATTTTATAGTGCTACATAACGACTAGTCTAATTAATGCTGGCTAGAATACATTTTTGTATTTTTGTATTTTTTTCTAGAGCAAATATTTAATTGCGATTAATCGCATTAATCTCGTAGTTAACTCGCGATTAATCGCACATTTTTATCTATTCTAAATGTCTCTTGATTTCTTTTTTCTCACATTATTTTTTCTCATTTTAATGCTCTTATCAACATGGAAAAGTGGATGGGCTTGCTTTGTGCAAATGTTTTTTATTGAAAACAACATCGGCATATACTGTGCTCAAATTCACTCTAACATTCTCACTTGGAGCAAATTATCTTTCACACAATGTAACACTGTCCATCAATAAAAGGGTGAAAGAAATAGTGACGAGGTCCTGATATTGACGAGGGGGCGGAGAATTCGCATCATCTGTGTGTGCTTGGCACTCAAGTGGTATTTCAGACTGCACGTGCTGCGATGATGATAGCTCAGTTCACAACGACAAAACACACAGATCACTTTGGTCTTGTCAATTGAACAATTTTGCAACTTTTTATTAAAGTAAACTTTCCATTCAGAATCTTATTGGCATCCATTTCCACTCAAAACGTAACGTTGACCAACTATTTGGCCGAGTCGCAAGCACAAACATGTTGTTTTGTTTCCGGTCAAGCTAGATCTGCTTGCGCTTTGGTCAACGAAGCAACAAAACGTCCTCCTCACGCGGCGCAAACCATTGAAATGAGTGGGTTTCATAGCGCAGCGCCAAGCATGCCGCGTCCTATTGGGTTTGCGTTAATGCCGGTAATAACACGTTAAACTGACAGCCCTACTCAAGTAAATTTCAAAAAGAAAAGTATTTTTACTGGAGTAATATTTTATATGACGGTATCTGTTCTTGATTCGTGTACTTTCGTACACCACTGTCATAATGCTACGGATTAGACGTGTGTATTACGGTATCTGCTTTCCATTGCTTTAGGGAAGACGCACAGGCCCCGAAACGCGTCTCCTGGGCTAAAAGTGGCACAGGATCAGACATCATATCAAAGAATGGTACATTGTCCTCCATAGCCACCTGCCCTCCTGCACAGGACCCTCAACATCCACTCCAAAACAACCATTACCCATACCCCCCAGGTGCCTTGGACACCGCCTCCATCCTCACCACCTCTGGTAGCACAGCCACTTACCGCCTCCGCCCAGGGGATCCCAACCCACTCCACGGCCTGCCCGGATACAACGTCAGCAGCACACCCAATCACACGCTCCGCCACCATCGCCATCTCAGTCCCGACAGCTCGTCCACTCACAGGACTGAGGGACCACAGCCACAGGCCCCGTGCCCACTCAACATGCCTATGAACACCGCTACTTTGTCCCGCATGGGGGCGGTGCCAGTCATGGTGCCCACCCAGAACCACGCAGGGTCACTGGTGTAATGTGCTAAAGATTTACAAAACTTATGAGCTAGAGTCTATAAAGATAGCAAAATTTGTCTTAGTTTTTATACAGAATGAAGTTCAGTCAAATATAGTTATCTGTCAAAAACACCTTTGTTTTATAAAGTATTGTTTTTTTACTGAGCGTAATTTGTGTTTTGATGTGTTCTCGTCATCTTTTCAAATCGTTACACTGACCAAGAACAGTATTTTTCATTTATTTAGCCTAGTCAACTTTACAGTGTTATTACACATTGAAATACCGGATGTTATGAAGGGATGCAGATGTCACTGATGATGTTCCACTGTTTATAACAGTTGTGTTTATGGATCAGATTCATCCAGTTATTTAGTCATTCTTGGTATTAGTTCAATAGATCACAAATATTTTGCATCGGCTGTTATTGTGCCTCTCGTGCCTCCGTTTCTCTCAGGAGTTTTCTTTTTTTTTTACTGTCAAACAGTTGACAGATTTGTAAAGATGAGCAGTGCTTTTATTTTCATATTTCAAAATTTCTGGCCGTTCAGAGGAATTGATCATTTCAGTGAGAGAAAAGGGATGACTTAATGGAAAAGTAAAATGAATGCCCATGAAAATGCTGTCTTAAAAATGTCTTATGATTTAGAGTTTGAAACAAATAAATGCCAGAAACTGCCATGCTTGTTTACTGGAGTAAATGGACTCTTAGTTATGATTTGATCATGTACTGTAAGTTACATGGAAGTGGTACATTTATTAATTCATGTGTACGTGATAAAATATGAAAGACTAGCCTTGTGGTTTAATGACTTGAATATTGCAAGCAATGTATTATTTTTTTGATAGTTTGATATGTGTGTTAATGCGGAATGTTATTCTCTGTGCAATGAATGATGTGGTTGTCTGCTCTGTTGGGCCTTTCTCACTCATTTTGTTCATTTTAAATTGGTATAATATAGAATTGAAAGCTTTATGATCCTGTAACTGTCCACATGATCGAAGGAGAGAGGTAAGACAAAGGCTTGGAGTGGAGGTCACTTGCCATAATGTTCAGCTTATTAAACCAATACAAAATTGCATTGTAAAACATTGTTCAAAGTTTTATATTACAGTTGATTAAAACAAGCAAAGTTTCTTCCTGTGGCATTTGATTCACCCTGTTAAACTGTATTAACAAACTTAATTTTGGCTGCAGCATTTTTTTTAACTTGCTTTGTGTGCAAGAGGGCACAGGTTGAGATGCTGGACGAGCAAACAGTTTCTAAAATAACCATAACAAAATTGTCTTTTTCTTGTTAACACCATCGGAAACAACATTTCTTTGGGAGTAAGTGTAAAAACCTTTGTTAAGAAGAAGATTGGTTGTCTTAGTTATGGAATAGGTGACTTTCATTGGTGGCTTTTCTAACCATTTTTATGAAGAAAAAAAAATGGCGTGAAAAAAGCAATAAGAAACGTTTAGCCACACCTTCATGATGCCTCCTTTTTTTGCAAGCACAGTCTGGATATTGTTGAGCTTTCTGTTAGTCAGAGCCAGCCAGTTATGAGCTGCTCCTTATCTCGTGCAGGGACAACAACAACACAATTATTAAATGCATAATGGCGTTTGGTCACATTCTAATATGCTGATTGGCTGCATCTTTCATGAATAGAAAAGAACCGAATTTATTTGAAATATTAATCTTTTGTAACATTATACATGTCTTTACTGTTACTTGTGACAATTTAATGCATATTTTAAAGATACCCTTACTCTTGTAGTGTAAGTTATATCAGGTGCGCCCCTGCCGATCGACTGTCCTGCACAGTTCATCTTCAACCCTAATCAAACACACCTGAAGCACCTGAAGTCTTCTGGATCACTTGAAAATTAAAGTCATGAAGGTAAGATCTCAGTGATTTTTGAACGAACCACTTAAATCTTCCCGGTCTACTGAGATTTGTTATTTGATTTGCTTCACATGCTACATTACAGTGATCAATTCATGATCAATTTCGTGCTACGTTACAATAAATAAATCCACTTCACCAGCTAATTACAAAGCTAACGTTACCTCAAAAACTTTTTTAACGTTTTTAACACAAACTTCTAAAGATCTGTGCTTCTTCCTCTTGCGCATTAGGTCACCATCAGCCACTTTTCTCTATTGTATGAGTTATTTAAATCGATGACTAAAACTCATGTCTCATTTGTGTTTCAGATCAGCGAACTGGTTCTCTAATATTACACAACCTGCCAGATGCTTTGCTACCACCTACACATGTAAAGCGTCTAATGAGCTCGGTCAGGCAGTGTGCAGCGTGCAGTATAACCCTCAGAGTGACCTGTGAGTACCACACACACATTCCTCTGACATCACTGAATACTAAGATCATTTGACATGCTGTTCTACTCTAAGATGCAGGAAGAAGTGGAGCTGTAATTGGTGGAGTTTTGATGGGAACATTCCTCGTTCTTCTGCTGATTGGTACGATGATAGTTTCCTACATCACCTGGAACAGTGAGAAGCACATCTAGAAAATATATGCAAATGAGCTTAGGTGTGTTTTTAAACCTCGGTAAGCCAAATGTGATGTTCAAGATAAGAATGATTTTTCATTCGTCGTTTTTTCTTCAAAAGCCAGGTGAACAACAATACCTAACTTACTTACCATACCGTACTAACCGTTCTTCCCGTTCAATCGGATACTGAAGACCAAACACATTTAAGTGCCTCACTTTAGTCCACTTGTTTAATCTCCTCAGACATTTTTTTTCATCTCTATGCTTGTTTAATTTTTGAGCCTCACATTGATAAATTCACATTGATAAGACATACAAAAACAGATTTTCAGGTAAAAATCCAAACAGTTTTTTTTTTTTTTAAAGATTCATCAAAAGTTTTTTTTATTGCACAGGAAGCACAATTTATTAGAGACACAACAGTCATTAAAAAATAACATGAGGATCAGATATACTCTGTAAAGAGAACAAACATTATAAAGCCACAGTTGAATTGTGACCTGATCTTCTGTGCTTTGAAAATTATCTCACAAAGAAAGCTGTCTATGATAAAAAAGTGTTAAATATTGAATTAATCTTTCTACATAGATTGACAGATTTTGTCACAATTATAATAGATTTCAACTAGTGTTTCAGTAACTTTTGTAAATGCTGAATGCATTGACGTTTGCCATGCGTTTTCTCTTCAAATATAGTCTTGTAACCTTCCAGAATTTTTACCATAAACAAACTAAATTTGTCAGTTTTGTTATAATAAACTTTAATCTGGATTTACTAATTCATGTGTTTAAGGCATAAACTTTCTGAACATTCCACTTAAAATACAGTCGACAGCTCCTAATCAAAATCAACAGATAATGGAGTGTGAAAGATCAGTAATCTCTATAGTCACATGTAGAATATATAGTCCTGTTTATGAATCCATTCCATTCATGAACATCATGATTCAGTGAGCAAACTTCTCGCAATGATCATCCTCATCACTTCATTAGTACCTAAACAAAAGAAAAAACAATGTTAAATGAAAAGTGAACATGAAAACAATACTGCATTCAACCCAATCCCACATAGAACAATAATAAATTATAAAAAGGTTTATGTATTAGTATGCAACATTAACACAGAGACATTTTTAGATACATTACAGCTACTACTAAATGATAACACTTTATTTTAGTGTCCTTGTTACACATGTAGTTACTGTCACAAATCGCATAATTACATGTGAAAGAGAGCAGTATGCCAGCCAGGAAGTACTCTGATACTTCGTTTCCACCAAAAAAGAACAGGTTCGGAACTGGAGCTGGTTCAAAGTTGGTTCAACTTGCGAACCTGTTTGTTTTTCCACTGACTAGAGAGCCCAGTGAGTGACGTTGTTGCGTCACTGTGTACGTCACCAAACGTTTTTCACTTTCCCATTCCCGTCGTGTTGTTGGTCACATTAACACCGGCCCCCGATGTAAGCATGATGAGGTAAAAGAACGGTTCTGGTCCAGCAAAGTGCAGTTCGACGATTTAAGAAAATAAAAGTCAGGGCTATTATTTGAAGTTTTACGATACATGTAGCTAATTAATATTATTCAGTACTTAAATGTATAATCACACTGTAACAAGGACATCTTAAAATGAAGGGTTTTTTTTAATAAAAAAAAAAAAGTCATTACCCTCCAATATCTGATGTACTCTAATGTCTCTGACATACTGCTGCACTGCATAGTCCTTTAGGTAACCATAACCTCCATGGATCTGTAAGGCCTGGTTACATATCTGAAAGAGATGATCAGAAAAGACTTACTAACACATTTGTGATACGACAGCACTCAGCTGATGGAGCAATGTGTGTGTGTGTACACTTACTGAAAAACACTCATCTGTAACGAAGAGCTTGGCCATTGAGCAGAGTGAGACCGCGTCCGGTCGGCCCTCCTGTAGAGCCACCGCCGCTTGACGCACCAGCAGCCGAGAGGCGACCAGCTTAGTGGCCATCTCAGCCAGCTTAAACTGCAGGAACTGAACACGGGCAACCGTTACACCTTTCTGTTTCTGATTTAAACGAGACGTCTGATTGAGACCTATTAGAAAGATCAGTGCGAGACAATTCAGCTGGTACCTGGCTGTTCGAAAGTGTTTCTCCAAACTGTTTCCGCACACACATGTGATCCCGAGCCAGAATCACAGATGCGTGAGCTGCTCCAAGAGAGCAAGAAGCTGTGGGTACAAGAGCACTTCCATTAAACAGTCACCAAAAAGGCTTAAAATAAATAGGATATCAAAAAGGTTTCAAATCAAAGTGATGAAACAATTCACCAATATTAATTCTGCCTCCGTTTAGGCCTTTCATGGCAATGCTGAAGCCCTCCCCCTCTGCTCCAAGCCGATTGGTTACTGGGACAGCGCAGTCCTCAAATATCACGGCTCGGGTTGGCTGCGAGTTCCATCCTACCTGCAGTTTATAAATAAATAACTAAATTCTGCCACCTGCTGGACAACCTTTAACACTCTTTTGAAAGTCACTTGTTCTATATACTGTGTTTCTCACAGTGGTACCTTCAGGACACCCCAGTTTAGGCTGAAAACATCCATTACCTTCTTCTCTTTTTTGCCAAAGCTGAGTCCAGGGGTTTCTTTTTCAACCACCAGGCAGGAGATCCCCTTAGGTCCCTTCCCACCTGTCCTGCACATGACCACATAAACATCTGTGTCTCCACCTCCACTGATGAACGCCTGACGGGAGACATGGAAAATGAGATGGGAAGCTGCATGGAGATTTTTGACAATGTCTCAATCCTTTCTTCATGTACCTTGGTGCCATTCAGAATATAATGATCTCCTTGGAGCTTCGCACTGGTTAAAAGAGAAGCAGCATCACTCCCGCTACCTGGAGAAAAAAAAGAAAAAAAGGTTAGAAATATGACATTTTTATATATATATGAAATCTTTTGCATCTGAACTCTTCATATATATATATATATATATATATATATATATATATATATATAATCTAAATACGTGTATATATATATAAATATGTACATTTTCCTAGGCTGGACATCACTTTTGGTGTATCTGATGTGTTTTTGCCATTTTTATTATTCTCTCTGTATGTTTTATATATATATATATATATATATATATATATAATATTACTTTTTCAATTTTAATACTTGCATAATTTCAGTTAGTTGCAAAGGTAACATTTCTACGTTTTTCATCTTATATTTACTTTTCATTTAATTTTGAATTAAGTCATTTTGGTTAAGGATAACATAACACTGATATAGACTACAAAGAAATACAGAAAAATGGTTCTCACAGAACTTACCAGGTTCTGTGAGACAGTATGAGGCGAATTTCTCCATAGAGCAGAGATCAGGACAGTATTTCTCCCTCTGCTCCTTGTTTCCAAATGTATCTATCATCCAGGCGCACATGCTATGAAAACACAACCCATAGACACTATGTAAAACAACACTATGCATAAACAACTTTAACTTATTTTATAAGTAAGCTAGTAGGGACATTTATAGTGCATGTATGGCAGGGCAGACTCACTTGTGAATACTGATATAAGCGGTAGTGCTGACGCAGCCTGTGGATAAAGCCTCAAATATGATAGAGGTGTCCAGACGAGAGAGTCCAGAGCCACCAACATCAGGGTTCACGTAAATCCCACCAAATCCCAGCTGGGCGGCTTTCTTCATGGCATCCACGGGGAATATTTCCTAAGTGAAAATATAAATTGTGTTTAAATGTACAGTAAGGTTTAAGCATGATATATAAACAATAACCAATATTTTCGGATGTTCAGGTGTTCAGGTTACCTTTTGGTCCCACTCCGCCATATGTGGTGCCATCTCATTGGCAGCAAAGTCAAATGCCACCTTCTGAAACTCTTTCTGTTCATCAGAGAGACCTATAGAGGCTGTGGAAATAATGCAGTGCATATATATAAGAACGTGTGTAATTGGTAATTGTGTAGTTTATGTACTGTATGTATTACCAGCAGCATCTTTTGTAATGAGATACATAACCAGCACGGATCAAAGGAAACGACATCTGATATGAGCCAATCAGCTGCGCTCGATACCCAACCCACCCCCAAATATGATTGGTTGAGCGAATTAAAAGCAATCTAATGACGATCGAACTTTTCAAATTTGCATCTATCTGCAATTAAAATGTTACAACACAGCTAAATATCATTAACAAAATGTGTTTGTACATTTAACATATTTCTGTACAATTTCAGTAAACTGTCAATGTTTAAACTCCAAGAACACTGACGTTTAATGATGCATTATATTGACTCAACAAACCTGCCCAAGTGAGTTTACTAAACAACAACAAAGAAAAAAGTTAATTAAAATTGAATGCACTACACTTCAGTTAAATTACACAGTATAGATCTCCTTTTAAATCATTCAATCTGTGACAGGGACCATCGACAGAGGTTCAAAAGCATACATTTACACCAAATTTGACATATAATCAAAAAAGCGAATAAACTGATTAAAATAGGCATTATCTATTCTAGCTCAATAAAAAAGGTATTTGTTGAAACGTGATACAGTAACGTTACATCAGTCCTAAATGACTGACTGCTTGTGTGGTTGTCTCTCAAGGAACATTGATATTATTATCACGGTCTTTAAATAATTTGACTTACGATCAATGCACGCTGATATTCCTCGTCTGTGTACACTGTTAAATATTAAACTGCGACTTCTAACGATGCTATAGGTGCCCAATCGGACACCTCTTACGAATGCCCTAGCTGCCGCCATGTTGGTTGAGTGACGTAATCAATCGCCGCGGTGATGATGGGTAATGAAGTTCTAAACAGACTGTTTTATAACTTAGTTTGAAAAGTTTTTAGATTTAAGTTGCTAGCCGTTTTTAAAATGTTTTTTTTAATACATCACCTTCTGAGTTGGATAGTTTTTAATTAAAAGCAGGCCAAATTCCAACCGCGTCTCCTGACTGCCAGGGCGCTGGTTTATGATATCACGAGTGTGCTTGATTTCCTCGCTTACTTTGCACGTGAAACATGCCACCCAAGAAAACAACACGAAGCAGCTCCAAATCTAATAAACACAGTAAGTAACTTTAATCTGCTTAATGCATCGTGTTATAGTTTTATGCGCGACAAGTCATCACTTTAAATACTTAATTGCTTCTTGTTTTAGCTGATGCAGACCCAGACGCCCAACACAATAAGGAGTCTGGTGATGTTGCACAACTCAAAACTGGCAAAAGAAAAAGGTCAGCAGCAGTAAAAAATGATGTGGAGAAAAATAAAAATGATGACGCATGCAAAGCATCTTACAGTCACTGGCTTATGAAGTCTGAACCTGAGAGTCGAATTGAAAATGGAGTGGACGTGAAGGTAAATCTCTTATTATTATTATTATTAAAAATAATAGTTATCATTAAGCTAACTCCAACAATAACAATACAGTATTACAGAGAACTACAAATATATATATATATATATATATATATATATATTCCAATTATGACATACAAAGTCATAATGTGAGATAACGTCTCCACTTTAGTTTTAACTTATAAATCTTATATAATTTCTACTTTCTATCAAAATTATGATTTAGTATCTCATATTTTGACGTTTGATGCCATAATTAGGGCCTATGACTTATCTCATTATGACTTAGTATCTCATTTCTACTTTTTATGTCGGTACTAACATGATACTGATCTCACGTACATCACACTATACAATGCCATACATATTGTTGCATTTTTGCATTGTGTGATCATGATTGTGACATGCGATATTGTGACAAAAAAATTGTTCTTATGTGTTGGGAGTGTACAATAATCTAGAAAGAAAAAAAAATACAGTTTGTTTTAAAAAAAATCAGTAATGAGTGATATTTTAAAAGCTTTTTTTTATCAAAAAAATACTTTTTAAGTGATGTTAATAAGTGAATGTAAACCTAATTAAACAACTGAGATGTGAAGTGGTCTTAGCCTAGAGCATAACATAATATCCTGTCAACTCCAACAGTTTGGAATTGAGGACCTAAAAGCCCTTCCCAACCAAACGGGATGCTGGGATGGAGTGAGGAATTATCAGGTAGACTGTGATTTAATATTATGTTTATCAAGAAGCACATGCAGAACAATCACTTATGCTGAAGACTTTTCCCCTCAGGCACGTAATTTCATGAGAGATATGAAGGTGGACCAGCAGGCCTTCTTTTACCACAGTAACTGCAAAGAACCAGGCATCGCTGGCCTCATGAAGGTGAGGACTCACTCCAATGGAAGCTTAACATTTTAACCACATACATAAGTATTGTATTAGTTTATTTTGTTTACCTATTTACCTTTGTTTTGTTTTAGAATTTGAAAGATGATAAAGATATGGTTTGATAAGTGCGTAAACCAAAAAAGTGGAATTTAATTTTAACCCTGTACGAACGCGGTATAAATTATTTCTTACAGATTGTAAAGGAGGCTTATGTAGACCATACGCAATTTGACAAGAAAGATGTTCATTACGACCCCTCCAGCAAAGCAGACAACCCGAAATGGAGTATGGTGTGTCGTTTTAACACAGACCACAAAAAGACATAATATTTCTATTTTTGCCATCAAAACTGACCACCGATTAAATCTGTATAGGTGGATGTTCAGTTTGAAAGGATGACCAAGCGTTTCATCTCTCTGGCTGAGCTGAAGATATATCACTTGCAACACAAAGCTAAGGGTGGCCCTCTGAAAGATATGGCTCTCTTCACCAGGGCAAGACTATCAGTTCAGCCCCTCACTGCAGGTTGCTTATATTTAATACACACAAAGCCAGCTCATTTATTGTTATGCATAATAATCTTAAAAATAACTAAAGTTAAATGTAAATTATATATATTAAATTCACATTATAAAAAATAATACTACTTGTAAAAAGTAGCTTTAATATAATTAGCTTATAATTTATGTAATTTTGCCTTATTTTCAGAGGAATTTGACTTTGTCCTGAGTTTGGAGAATGAAGATCCAATATGAAGATCATGAAAGTTTTTTTCTCCCACCTTATGATTCTCTCTTCTTTAAAACTTGAAGTTTTATAGTCAGTTATTTCTTTATGTTACCTATTTTGATGTGACCAAATGAGTAAATAAAACACTCCAAGTATTTTGTTATTAAAATATTTTTTGCCTCGTTCAGACCGCTTCATAATACAGATTTCTCTTCAGTTATCACAGGTTATTTTAATTTTGAAGACAAAAAAGTGGAATCATCATGGATGCAGAGGTTAGTAAATTTTATTACAATAGGGCTGATTAAATGTGCATTTTGCAGAAGGTTTTTTTTGTACGATTAAACAAATATTTAGTAATACAATAACATGCACATGTAAGAATAGAAAAGTCACTTTAAAAATGGGTTGCAAACAATCACATAAAAGATTTTCCCTAACACAGCATTTAAATGCACGTTTGGGAATACTGGAACTGTGCTGCCGACGTGATGATAATTGATTCATTTTAATAGGAAATAAACACTTAAGATGACAGAAAATCAAAAAAAGATTTTTCAACAGTAAAAATATTCATGTAAAAGGCATTGCCTTGTAAAAGTTAGTTGACAAGATGTTCCCTTGTACATTTCTATGGAGGTTTTCATTTGTAATGGTTCTAACTGACAGAATAATACTGTGCAGAAGTACATGAAGCGCTAGATTTATAACACAAAAGATCACAGTAAATCTCATTTTGGGCTCGATTAACAGCACAAAGTATAGAAGCTAGATTCTGACTTTTCAGTGCACTGGACTTGAGCAAAGTTGAGCATAACAAGAGGAATGTATTGAGGCTCACAAGTCAGAATAGAACAGAATGAAAACATTGGCCAACACATGAAAAGATCAATCCTGGCATTTTAAAACTTTTGGTCACTATTGTGTAACGAAAAGCTACGCAGTATCGGAAAGAGAAATAAAAAAATAATCTTCTAATCTATACACATTTAAGTAGTTGGACTGCTTTTTACAAGCTTGATTCTCATTTTTGTTCTCGGCAAAACGTCACCCGTCACATTAATTCCTTCAAGACTTATAAAACATTATTTAGACGCAACAAGGTTCGTTTAAACTGATGAGGGAACGTACGTCGCCTTATGTTTAGTTATTCTCCTCTTTGGCTTGTGCTGATGCAGTTTCAGTGTGTGATCCTTCGAACCTCTGGGAAGCTATGGTGGCCTGTTGGGACATACTTCTCCTCACAATATCTCCTTTCCTCCAGAGTGTGATCTCCTATTGGGAATGAAATCGAAAAATGAAATTTTACTCGTACTTCTAGACGGATGGAAGAAATGTGTAATATGTTCCATTATGTGTGATCCCGGACCTGTTGTTTGAAGTATCGTCGCTCTTCTTCATCTATAAGCACTAGGTTCAGGTAGTAACGCACAGAGAACTTCTTGTTGACGTCCCTCATGGTGGGGGTCAACTCATATCCAGCGAGAAATAAGCGGATGGGGATTGACTCGCCTGGAAAGAATAACAGAGCAAAGCCATACCCTTGTTAAAGGGATACTCCACTTTTTTTGGAAATAGGCTCATTTTACCACTCCCCTAGAGTTAAACAATTGAGTTTTACCGTTTTCCAATGTATTCAGCCAATTTTCTGATATTTAGAAGAATATCAGTAACCAGACAGTTTCTGGTCTCATTGACTTCCATAGTAGGAAAAAATATTCTATGGAAGTCAATGAGACCAGAAACTGTCTGGTTACTGATATTCTTCTAAATATCCGAAAATCGGCTGAATGGATTCGAAAACGGTACAACTCAACTGTTTAACTCTGGGGGAGTGGTAAAATGAGCCTATTTCCAAAAAAAGTGGAGTATCCCTTTAAGTGTATATGAAAATAATTAATTTGATCAAATTGTTGGAATAGAAGCCACAAAAGAGGACTATATATTATCAGAATGTAATATAGATCAAGACTTTGGCTTTACCTCTCACTGGTGCCCCATCCATGATCTCATATTTGGCGATGGTGTCATTTTCGTGGTACACACTGGGTCCTGTTCCAGTTGTTTCCCGTTTTATTATGTCGATTTCCATGTGCTTAATCTTTATCCTTACTAGAAGGAAGTAAATCTTCCCTACGATAACATCCCTCAGATGGTACCTAAACAGGACAGATTTGGAAAATGGAACAGTTAAGAAATAACTTCGCAAATCATTTCTGTACATAATCATTAAAAAAATGTTTGCATTTTTTTTGCATTGAGACTTTGTAATATATTTATTACAAGCTTATTTGTTCAGCAGAATAGCTGAGAATATTTTAGAATATTTTACTTCATCAGTATGGTACAAAACTAGCATTTGCTATGTGAACAAAAACGTTGAGTGGTCCTGAAAAAAAGAATTGTCACACTTGTTTTATTGTTTGCAGTCAAAAAAGGCCGCATTGGAAATTAATGAGAGACGAATTGCTTCTAGTGGAAACGTTTGGTACAGCGCACAAACAAATTCTTACTGAAAGGTCACTTTTTATGGCCTGGTAATAGCAAGCTCTGCTACTTCACTTTGCTTCATAGACAGAGTCTGGAGTGGCATCATTGAAAAGTGTTTTCTTTATCATGAGGGGGCGCTTGTCTGAACTGTGAAGTATAAAATCATTGGTTTCCCATAAGCCAATCACATAACGTTTGATTATGCGCCAGCTCAGCCGCAATCGAACTAAACCTATAAACACACATGAGATGCGAAAACGAAACCATCTAGCAAAATACCAGAGTGCACATGGCTGTGAACGACTTTTGTAGATTATGTGAAGTAAATCTACGCATCCACGGCACAAGTTCTTAACTAATATTTGACAGTAGAGAAAAACAGGAAAATATTTGCATCAAAATGAACGAATCTTTTTCCGAGTCATTTGGTTCAGAAATGAATGATGTTCGAACAGGAGAGTCACGAACGTACATCACAGAACAGAGCAAGGTGACCATTTGAGCTTATAAAACTTAAACTTTGTTATTTCTTTAAATGAGCGATCTTTTCGTTTGATAAGACCCTTATTCATCGTCTGGAATCGTTTAAAGCCCTTTGAACAGTTTGCACTGAAACTGTCTTTTGGACCAGGAACCGTTTGGTTACCAGTAAAAGTGCATAATATAGAGAAAAATCCTGTAATGTTTTCATCAAAAACCTTAATTTCTTTTCGACTGAAGAAAGAAAGACATGGACATCTTGGAGTAAATTATCAGCAAAAGTTTTTTTTTTAAAGTGTACTACTCCATGTCATTCAGCATGGATACTTACTTGGATTTGTTGTATTCAAACTCAATATGGAGACAATCTTCAATTCCAACTTCCATCTTGATGGATGAGTTGAGCTCAGAGTATGAGCACAGCGTCTGCACTACAATATCCATCTCTTTACTGATATCATTGAGTCTTCTGCTGATTGTCGCTCGCAGAAAGTATCTAAACAGAACAAAGAAATTCAAGTATATTCTGTTGCTCCAAACAGGACACTACACGCTGTACATATATACGATTCACACTGTTGTGTAGGGTAATATTTCCCATAATGCTGTTTTATGTTTACCATCATGATTACAGTTTCACGAAAGGATTTCTGATAGATTTGTAACTTTAGTAAAGAAGCAATTCATAGATTTACCTTAGTTTGACATTCTGGCCAGTGTAGGATTCATAGGGCTTTTCCACATGGGTGAACTCAAAGTCAAAGCTCTGAGACTGTGAAAGCTCACCAGGTCGTGCAAGATCCTTCACCAGTGACACAAACTCATGGTGGTTCCCTCTGTCATAGTACAGCTCTGTGAATCACAGGACATGTTGACAAAATGTAAAACACTAGGGCTGTTTCTAAACGTCCATTCAAAGACCGACAAACTCACCAATCTGCCCGACAAACTCGATTTTGATCCCATAGTGCTCCAGCCTCTTTCCAGGAGTTTTGAGAGTCACATTAACTTTCCCATTTACAGTCTCGCCGTCATAGAATAGGAAATATTTGTCCTTTTTCCCATCTTCGGTCTTGTGCTCAGCTTTCTTCCTGGTCTCGGCGTCATTTAACACGATGTCGATGTCAGCGCTCTGCCCGAAGCCGAAGAAGCTCATGTCTGATGGACGTTTGCTGTCACTGCTGCTCGATCATAGATCACCTGATTGATTGACAGCTGCGCTCAGCTAGCTACAGGTGGCTGCGCGGTTCTCTGTCGCTCTGATACCTTTTACCAAGTGGCCTTCAAAAACAAGTGCATGCGCTATTTGATTGTTTAATATTCGCGCTTAAATCGAAAAATCTATATTTTGAACTCGAAAACAGAAGCATATGTCTGCCTGATTCGCTTATAGTAGCTCAATTCACAGGAGAACAGCCGTCAGGAAGAATTTTTGGCCATAAAACAACTCCCGCACTTCCGGGATCTTCCTCTAGGTGTAATTTCAAAATAAAAGTTTGGATTTATTTCAGAATAAAAGCTTTTTAATTGCAGTTTTTATATTGGGAAACAAGGATGAGATTAATTAATATAAGAATTTCTTTATTATTAAATAACAATAATAAAAGGGAACTGGTTACATGACCACATTAACTGTATACATACATGGTCACTTCCTTTAACTGTACCTGAGAATATTATAATCTAAGCATTATATAATGGATTAAGTATTGGTAGTACAATAGTGTAGTGGCATAGAGAATTAAACATCTCAGTAATAATGCTATTCAAATGGCATTTCATCTCTGATAATGTTTTCATTTCACATCACACAAACCACACATTACAAAAAAATAATTGGACAACAGTTTAACATGTGACATTTTTTTTCTTATAATATACACTGCAAAAAGAAATCTTAATCAGTATTTCTGGTTTTACATTAAAACAATATCTAAACATACTTAAAACAATATGCATGTACTTGACAAGACGAGCAAAACTGTGCAAGACTTGTTTTCCTGAATTCTGTTCATTTTTATTTTGCAATTTGCAAATAATTCTTGGCTTTTTTTATGCATACACTTGCGATTCATGTTTGAAACAAGAAAAGACATTGTCAATGGCAATAAAAAATATTTTAAAAATACTGGTTAAGACTATTATTATTATTATTTTTGCAGTGTAGCTTTAAATAGTAAGGATATACATTCAACATCTAATCATTGCTGGAATGTCAGATATTTGATTTTTTTTTTTCATCACCTGGGTTTATTATTGACTGCGTAACTACACCAAATCAGATTCTGTCTGCCCATTGGCTGGCACCCAATAGTATGAATAGGTAAACAATTGTATAGTACTGTGCTTTAAAAAAACAACAACAGGTACATTGAAAAGTTTTGCCATTAAACACTTTAAATAATTCAATTAAGAGATACTGTCTTTACATTTGTTTACACCAATCAGTTCTGATAGGACAGGTAAATTTGCATAGGCATATCCATTATATTTGCCTATTACTCTTTAATTATATTCAGCTGCATCGCATATAAAGTACAATGACAGAACGGTCTATTGTTTTTGACAGTGGGACATGCCATGAGGAAGACCATATATTGTCATAGTGTGTCAAATTACTTCTAAAACATGGAAGAAAGATGAAAATAATGTGATTATTTCTTGTTCATCAAGCTAAGTTCCACTGCAAAGTAAATTTGATGGTCCAATTGCTACATTTTTAAAAACAAAATAAAAGGATAGACAATGTTGATTGCTTCCATATAATCATGTTTATTCTTGTGACACGGCCCACAGTCTAACTACTACTCTAAAGACGTGAACTACAGTGTATGCAGATATTATAAATAGATTAAAACAATAACACAAAGAACGTCAGAAAACCTGGACAATATGTCCAAAACGTATAAAACAATTATAAAGTATTGAAGGTCACTTAAACACAGAAATTGCACTCTGAAAAAAACACAAGTGCATAATCTGTATCTAGAGGAATATTTCAAAAATGAAACCAAGTAAATGAATCATCTTTCACAACTAAGTCTACTGACTTTATGGAGATGTTTGGTCAAATGTCAAACTAAAATGCTACAAATGTATATAGTTCACTAACTAAATAACTACTACTAAAACACTAACACATAAAATCCTCCTGTCAAAAGTGACCCAGATAAAACAGTCTTGCATGGCATTGTACACATTTACACTGACAGGGTTTAGTCAAACGCTATTTCCAGTGGGAAATAAAATATTTACCTTGAAGACGTGTAAATTCTTGCACTGGTATTTTGTCTTGACTACTCTGGGGCAAAAATACAGCAGCACCTGGATGCAATTTAGGCCTTGATACCATAACAAAAAAACATCATTAGCCTCATTTCAAGTCTGTCACTGACATTCAAAAATTCACAAGTATTTGGAAAGACTCAACAAACTCATTTTTTAAGTTCAGTCCTTTTTGATTTTACTTGACAAGATGCATGTAGTAGCTATAAATCTGAGCACTGATTAGTTGAAAATGTCATTTTTATGTATAAACTGTGGAGTTTGAGTTCTGTTTTAAATCAAAAATAAAAATTCCCTGTTTAACACAGTCGTTTTCGTTTTCGTAATAACTTTGGCAAGCCGTGAAGCTCGAGTCGGACCTCTGCATACAGTAAAATGCACAGTTAGACAGTTCAGAAGTCGGCTCACAAAGGCCTTCACAGCTGAAGCGCTCATCTCCTCATCTTTGATTTTATATGACAAAAGAGGACTTGTGGCGAAAATGTCCCTGAGAGAAAAACAGTGATAGGAAAAACAGTGAGCAAACAAAGGATTTGAAGTTAAAATGAGGGCCTACATAAATCCAGTCGAATATGTTTTCCATGTAGAGATTTTGCTGAGAGATTATTTTGAGGATTGCTCTAATACCACTTTGAGCTTTGCTTCCATAAATAAAAACAAAATATCTGCAGTGAGAGAAACGCTGCAGTGTAATCTGAGAAGATAAACCAAATCTTGGATGATATTCCATCCATCCTTGTAAGAACACTGCAAAGTGTTGAGTACAGCCTCTAAACATGTAATAATGCATGAAAATGATATCTGAGGTGCTTTATTATGTCACAAATCCACAAGAACTCACCTCATCTGGAATCGTGTAGTCAATCCTATTGTCATGTTGGGGTACTTTGTAACTGTATCAAACAGAGCATTGTAATCTTAGTAAAAGTGTATGAAAGATCAAATCAGATGACGCGTGATCTTATGATGATGCTGGTGCGTTCATTTTGTGGTTATGGGTTTTACTCACTTGGTTTCCCTGTGATCCTTGCAGGAACAGATGCCACTTTTCTGAATTTGACAGATTCCCACAATGACAAAAACAAATGCTGCCACTCCACCTAACACCTTCAGGAAAATCCCCACAATGTCCACATCATCTAGAAAGAAATGATGTGTTTGAATACCTCACCCCCAAACAAATAATAATAATAACAACAATATAGTTCTATATTACTGCTTCACTAGGACTACATTCAATGTAATCTGCTAATTATGAGCACTTGATGTTTTTTGGAGCTTGATATAGTCACTATGAACTGTGAGTGTATGCAAAAAAGATGAGAATGTGAATTGTGCTATGGTGAATAAATAATTATACAATTAAAAGTTGAATCACTAGTGCAACTATTGACCAGCATATTTAAAGGGCCACACTTACACACTTCCATGGGCTGTGGACTGCATTTTGACCACCCTGCCTCATTTCTGGCCTGACAATAATATTCACCCGCATCCTCTTTCTTCACCGACCGGAATTTCTGTGGATTAAACGCAAGTTATACAATTAGCAAAAAAAAAAAAAAAAAACAGTTAATGTAAAAACAAGTAAAATACAACATAATTGTAAAAAAAACAACAACAACAACAACAACAACAAAAAACCTTCCTGATTTTCTGATTGGCCATAAAAAACCAACAATGGCATGTTACCCTAAGTCTCTTGTATTTATTGAAAAAAAATATTTTTTAAAAAATGTATTCATTGCATTTTATTTTTATTATTTTATTTAAAGCCAAAGTTTTTTTATCAGTATTAAATGACTTTCTCCTACCCCAGTTTGGTGCTTTAAAACAATAAGCCTGTAAATGATTAACATTCGTTTTAGGTTTATTTAAAGGCTCATGACTTGAGAAATCAAATTTGCCCTGACCTTTTGAAACATAAGAGGACTTTGTACTGTAAAAACATCCAGCAAGTTTCCTAGCATAAAATGTCCTCCTCATTACAAACAAAGAATTTATTTAATCAAGCTCCAAAGAATATTTTGTGATCTTTAATGTCAGTCACACAGGCAAATCATTAAAAAAAGCGCTCAGTTTGCATCCTGACTCGCCCGACACAGCACCAATATTAAACAATAGCAAGAGTTTGGGGACTGGACTATCTGTTTTGAAGGGAAGTGCTCCAGAAAACGTTTTGAAATCAATCATTACATTTGCAATTCCTTTTGGTGACTGTGGAAAGCCTTTGGTGACAGAGCGTAATCCAAGCCATGTTTTTGCAAAACACTTACCAGCGAACCAGTCTCAGTGTTCATGGTGTATGTAGCATTGTAGAACTTGCTGCTGGTTTTTGGGTCCTCTGGCAGCTCTTCGTTGTTTTTGAACCACTGGTACTGTGACTGTGGAAAGCCTTCGTTCTCAATGCAGCGCAGTTCAGTGCTCGAACCCACCGTAACTGCCTCTGGCACATTACACCTGGGCAACACCGGCTTCACTGCAACACATCCACAGCAAAGCAGTAGCTTTTTTCCATTTTTCATTACTAAAACCCTTTCCCAAAAAAAGAAATGGAAGAGGCGATGGCTAAAAGTGCCAATGAAATGGTAGCAGCAGCAGATCTTTCACTAGAATCACCAACTTTTGCCAATGGAAAATCCTATTGGGTTTTTCTCTGGAGGTACTAGGGTTACGCTAACAATTCAGTTGGCTATAAATATACATCATCACTTCAGCACCGTATAATGATGTACATCAGAGTGAAATGGATTATAACAAAGAAGGCAAAAAATAAAAAAATGTTGGGTGGGGATTTGAATCAGTTGTTGATTGGATTTTTTTAAGATGTGGCCAATGCTATAAAAAATGGAATCAACATTCACCTCACGCTAAAGGTGCAGTGTGCAGATTTTAGCGGCAACTAGCGGTTCGGTTGCGATTTGCACTAATGGCTCAGCCCACTGCTCCTCCGCATCCCCTAAACACCATTTACTACACACAAATTAATAAATATATTGAATAAAAATATTGGGTTTTTTTTCTCTGGTTTTGAAAACTTTGCGATCGACTTAAAATGCTTCCAAATTTCTGTCAACAGATCCTCATAAATATTACACATTGCACCTTTAAAGCAACACTCGTACTTGATCAGGACAAACTGAGTATAATTAGAAAGATTAAAGATCTCAGCTTCAATATTTGACCACTGTTTATGATAAAACTAGGTTGCAGTAACATTAATTTCTACATTTATGGCAGGAGTGCAAAAAATTGATCTGTTATTTTTTTATATTTTGAATAGAATATCAAAGTGAATATGAATTTTCTCTAATCTGCTCTGGTTTATTTGTGTTTACATAGATCAGGGTTCTTTTGGTTTTAGGGGCTTTTAGTTGGGCAGCACCAAAATTATGGAATTGTTTGATTTGTATGTTCGTGTTTTGTATTGCTTTGTATTTTATTGATTTGTTCTCATGCTCTAAGGTGACCTTGAGTGCCTTGAAAGGCGCCTATAAATAAAAGGTATTATATATATTATTATTATTATGAGGTAAAACTAAACATGGATGAATTGTTCACATTAAGATCTATAAAGTGCATTTAGAAAATAGTTAGGGTGAGTTTTCATTTCATGCCAACTTTAAATAAGGTTTAAGAGAGCTGCAGAATGAAAGCAGCATTCACATTAAAACTAATGCTGCATGGCATTAAATTCACTCTCAACCTTATGTTCCAAACAGCAAGACTGCGATTATAATCAGAGACATTTTTGTGAATCTAGGAATCATTTTAATCAGCTCAGCGGATTCATTCTGCCTTCAAGTCCACCGAAACCTCTTTGTCCGGACAGTCCAATCATTGTTCTCATGTGGCACTTCAACGTAACATGACTTAGAACTATATCCATGTAATAAAATTCCACTATTGAATAAAATACACTATTCCAACAGTACCTCTTACAGCGAGACTGATTAGGATTTCATCAAAGGGCTTCTGGTCGTCGATGGCCGCCACCTCACAGCGATATTGTGCTGTATCTGATCTGCTGGTGTTCAGGATCAGAAGGTTTGCAGGCTCTCTCAGCAAAGCCCTGTGCTCCAAGTCACCTGAGAACATAAAGCAGCTTAGTTCAGTTTTAACTTAGCTTACAGTAGGGTTAAATACTGTCAACAACTAAATGATATCATTTTCTGTGAGAAGGAATATGTTACCTGAAATTTTATTTTGGAAATACACATAGCTGGGGACACCGTTTTTAATTTTCTTCCATTCAATTCTGGGATTGTTTGTAGAAATGGACTCTATCAAGCAGGTCAATTCAATCGCTTTAAAGAAACAAGATATATATGATCAATTTATGCACACATTAATGATGTAATCTATTTAAACAGCATCATAAGAGACTTACAATCAAATTCATTTGCCCACACAGATTTTTCAGTTGTTCGGAGTATTACAGCAAAAGCTGTACTGTTACCTGCAACAGAAAAAAAGGAAAGTGTGTCAATAACTGTCTAAAAATAAGAAATTATATTTTGCATAAATATAAATTAAGCCTATTTTTATTCCTTTAAGATTGAATCCCATTTTCAAAGGTTTGCGATTTCAGGCCCCCAAAACCCAGATAATGAACTGGAACGCATAAAAAAAGTTTTTAGTTGAAAATTGTGTCGTGTAAATGGCCCCCGAAGACCTTTATTAAAGTCTCTTTATTTTTTTACTCTGTCGTCGTTTGTTTTAATACTGCCACCTTTCACATTTACATCACATATATTAATATTTAAATTATTACTGTGTGAATGTGAATTTAGTATAACTAATTTTTCTAAATTAACATTGAATTTCCTAAATTAACTAAATTGATAGCCATGAACATAATGAGAATCATTATTAAGAATTTATTTATACTTCCATGATTTAAAAACAAAACAAAACACAGCTGCTAAAATGTATAATAATCTTAATTATTATGTATTTCAAAGATAGTTTGTCAAATTTCAATACTTTCTGTGGATCATCTTCAACTTTTTGTAATGTTTATTGGAAATCATAATGGAAGAATAAACTTTGTACGAATCTTGGGGAAAATGTATCCAGAGCTGAACAAATTTCTAAAAATACATGGACAGATTTAGTGTATATCTGTCTGTGCTCAAAAAAAGCCAGACAATGTGACATAATGGAAATGCAAATATGAAACAAACTATTTGGTAAAGCTTGACAGTCCTGGTAGACTTTGCTCATGAGAAAACAATTTGGGGTTTGGGGCATTTGCTATTTCTAGATGCATTGTCCACTTTTGCATAATCTCATGAAATCCACAGAGTGTATTTACAGTGATCCATATGTGATAATCTGAGGCTTTAACCTCAGATTAAAATCTTGCCATATGGACTTCTACAAAGCACGAGATGGTTACCGAAGCCAAACATCTGTGTCGTTTGATCATCACCTAGACTGTCAGCTCAAGCAATAGCTGGGCCAGTTCTGAATTCTGTCGCACTTTATGTGAGACGAGAGCAAAGAATCATATTGCCACAGCTGGAGGAGTTCAAGGTTTCTGGTGACGTCTCCAAGTCTGACTTTCCCATCGCATGATGCATCATGGTCTATTTTTACATCTGCTGTTGACATTTCCCGATCAGACAAGCAACATTATCCACCACTGAGAAGCATGTGTGTTAGCAAGGTCCCTATTTACATAAAACAAAAGAATGTTTATGCATAAATATAAGATTATTTCTTTCAGCCAACAACTTTAAAGACTTGAAAAATCGAATGTCATGTTGGGAAAGTAAGTGTAATAAACAAATCTACGCATTTATGCCACAGTATACAGTACATAAACAGTATACTATATTGTATTGTTGATGTTTGTTTTGTTATATTGGTTTAATAATAAAAAAAAATCCATGCAAAATCATAATTTTCCGTTCTAAACCACCACATAACAAAAGCTCCCTTTACAATATTTGTGTTAATTATGACGGTTGTTTTGATGGCATATTTTGTGGTTAATTACTCCAACAAGAGAATAGCTGATTGTTGTAGCATTTCAAATGACATACTGTACCGGCTAACTAAAAATGCTACTCCAGACTTGGGAAAGAGATGGGGAAAATAAGAGGGAGAGAAGGGGGTGGCGGTGTGATCTTTGACTTCATGCATTCTTTAACACACGACTGTTTACAAAAACTCTTCTCCAGAGTTCTGACAGCACTTACTAATTTACAAAGACCCCGTCACTAGACAAAGTGAAATTAGGCTAAAGTTGAGTCCTTTTTAAAGTAGTTTGGTATTCAGGGCACTTTGGCCAACATTTGAAGCTTTGAGAATTTAAAGAGAGCAGATGAATGCAGAGTTACACCTCTTCACACATCACACATCTTACACAAAGGCACATTGTGCTGAGATGAAAATAAAAAGATCTGGTTGAGTCCCATCTAAAAATGTGACCTGCAATACCTCAACAACATGCCAGCTACAGCAAAATAATTCAATCGACAATAAATAATACAACAAAACATGTGTGCTTAATTGTACTGACTGATGTTATATTTAAAAAAAAAAACACTTTAAAAAAGACTGTTTCTTAACACACCTTAGTACATTTTCAAAAAGTGCACTCTGCAATGTCAAAATTAAGTTTTATTTCAAAGTACATTTTAAATCATTGTTTTAATAGTATTTTGTCGTGATTTAAAGAGGTACACTTATTTTGATGACATACTAACATGTCTAACATACTAAAGCTCATGTAAAGTAGCCTACTTGTAGTGTTTAGTCATTATTATATTTATAGTAAATATAATGTATACTAAAATGCAACTTTACGTACTAAATGTATAATTAATTACAAATATATTTAAATACATGACATAATGTAGGCCTACATGTTTCAATAGAAATCTAATGAAAAAGTTGTTCACCATAATTAACTTGTCTCTCGGCAGTACACATAAACCATTTTTCAAAGACAGTAAGTAAATGAACATGTTGTTAAATATCTCAAAACATTTAATTTAGTTAGCACCTAATTCTTTTAAACTAAGTAATTTTCATAATAAGTATACTCTATAAAAGCATGCTAAATTGTAATTATTTTCCCCTCTAAATTAGGCTATACACACGAGCAGCATTATGAGGAATAGAAACTAGATTTGTCTCAACACCTAGTGAGCTGCCTAATGAAACAGCATCCTTGACCATAATGGTAATGTGTTCATATTCGAACGCGTCCAAAACGCTTGTCAGCGGAGGCAGCTCTGTGTTTTGAGACAGCCGTTGTATGTAATCCACCGCTGGGCGATATCAAACCAGTTACCCAAATAGCGAATAAAATAGCCACATTAGTAGAAGGCGCTAACTGTGTTTACACTAAAATTGAGCGTGGCGGTAAATGGCTAACGGTAGTACAGCAGCAGCAGCGGGGGTCAGCGCGAGATGCCATCACACGGATACACCGTACACGAACGCCTATTCAACAACAACTACTCACTCATTTACAGCAATTAAAGAAATATTACTCACACAGACAGGAAAAAAGCACCAAGAAAGGCGTTTGACGCCAGAACGCCATTTTGAGTCGATTATTCAACGTGCAAATTTAGCTTAGCTGTCCAGTCGAAGGGGTGGACAATCTGGAGGATGCTGGCAGCCGCTGATGAGTTTCCATAGCTACAAGGACATCTGAGCGGAAGAGAGAGGAGGGGCTGAGACAACACTCGTGGACTTCCGGCTGATGATGAACATTGACCATGAAAACAGATATGGATTAAATAAGAGAGGATATTAAACTGTACTTAAGCGTATTTACTCATGTCCCCTATGACATTTAAAAATATAGGCCTATATAGCATTAGGAACATTTCTCGGAAATACATTCCCACTCGGGCTTATATACTTTTTTTTCAATAGTTTAAATTGGGATTCAGTAGCCAGGTTGAACACACAACGAATATATTTAGATTAAAATGATCCGTTTTCTCTGAGTGAATGCGTCTAGAATAATTTTCACATTTCAACACCAGATGGCAGTGCTAGAAAGGATAAAGAGAATAGTAGGCTACACGTAAATATCTTTATTTATGTATTAATAAAAAAAGATATTTACGTAGCCTACTGGGCCTAAATAAATAAATAAATTGGTTGTGTGTGTCATAAAAAGGACCAGTTTATAACATAATTATGACATATACAACCAATTTATTTATTTATTGATAATAATACACCTATTGATATAAGACACCTCGCATCCAAGTTGCTAAATCTGTTCAATGATTTATAATAAATGAATGCTTTGTAAAAAACAAAATTACCAAATGGTTCACATTTTGTTGTGCCGATTAGAAGTGTGTGACATTTTTAGCAGAAAAAAAAGTTTCTGGATAAAAAAAGTAAAAAAAAAAAAAAATAAATAAAAAAAAACTCACCTCACACTTACACCCTTTTCCATTTTTTTCCATCTTAAATGCTAAATAAATATTTAGGCAAATCACAAGGTAAACATTTTAGAATATAACCTTTTCCCATTTCTTTATATGCAAAATGATAACAGAATCTGCACATTACTGTTGAAGATAAATATTTATTAAAAAATTATATCAGCCTTTTTTAATTAATTAATGATAGGCTACATTTAATTTAAATTTCATGTTATTTTATTGAATTCATGTTATTTTATCTTAAACACACACACACACACACACACACACACACACTTGACATGGAGAGGACTGATGATGTACAGGTCAAAGTTTATCATTCATGTTGTTAGCTTTTAATGCAGTATCATGTTAACAATGTTTTAATATGTTTGAAATAATTTGAATGCATTATCCACTTATTTTAGGCTGGAATCACACAAGGGACTTAGTTTAAGTTGTATAATAGAAGCAAACCAAGATAATAAATTATTAAATGGCTCTTTAATTAGGACAATGAACCTTATTAGTCTTTATTAGGGGGAAAACATAGGATGTTGATTCATGCCAAATTGCAGGCTTTATTTAATCAGCGACAGGAAGGATTTTATTCTTAAATGAACCCTTTTTGCATTTATCAACATGTTTGTGCCACTGGAGCACAGCCGAAGAGACAGCCTGCAATCACACCCCCTCTCGCCACTGTTACACTGTGTTTGCACACACTGCGACCAAACTGTCCAGCTCTATCAGCGCCTGCTGCGTTTGCTCACTAGCGCTTTAGTCCTCTAGAGAACAACGGCACCTTTGGAGCTTCATTCATCCTTGGCTTGGTACAGTATGTATTTATTTATATGATGCATGCATAATGTGTCTCACATGCATATTAGTGTGTGCAATGAAATGCCTTGGATGGAACCATCCAACAGTGCACATGAATCAGAAGATCATTTCAACAGCTACTTGATCTACATCATCAGAACATATGTGACCAGGAAACCATGGCAACCATCTCAGGTGCTCTGGCAAGCTGGAAACAAGGCCAGAGGAATGTGTTTCACAAGTCTGCATTAGTGTTAAATGTGGTTACACCTAGCATCAAAGGCAAACACGTGGAGAAGATAGGCTACTAAGGCTATTTACAGTATAAAGTAATTGAAGTGCTATGTGCCATTTTCTCACCCAGTAAGACAATAAGTAATTTGAATAACGCTTTTCACAATACAAATTGTGTCAAAGTAGCTTTACAGATACTGTTATGTCTAAAATGCCTTAGTGCTTTATTTGAACTGAGTGATTATCCGGATCTAGATCTAGCTGTAGCCTATTTACTGTCTAGCATGTATATCAATGCCGCAGTGACTTGGACACAGATATGATCATTTAAAAGTACTTAAGAGATTTAAATATTGGTCTGTGCTGTTCTTTGGGATTTAAATCATTGTTTTTGTCCTAAGAGTAAGCAATTCTCAAAAATTATTAATGTCCCTGATGCATCGTGTACTCGCCATGGCATTTAGACTTGGCATTCTGAGTGAGATTAAACGATTCTCAAAAAGCTTACGACTCGTGTCATTGTGGTAGTGTTGCTGTGTTTGATCTTGAATGTGTCTCTGTTGAGAATATGTATAGACCATTTTGCAAGATGTAAACAACACGTGTCCAGAAGCACTTCCTGTTTCAGTTTTTTAACGCTACATAAAAGCTGGTATAAAATACAACCAACAGAACATATAAATATAAATCAAAAAGTTAAACAAACATCTTTAAGATGTTTTCTTTACATGTGAAATAAAGAAAACAGTTACAAACTGAAACAGGAAGTGTTTCTGGACCAGTGTTGTTTACATCTTGCAAAATGGTTTGGGTGAGTTTGGTAGTCAGTCATCGGCGATTCCGATTGGTCCTGACTACTGTTACACAGTCTATGGTTACACCCAAGCAACCTGCAAACTGCTACAGCAAACACTGACCAACTTTTAAATGTTGAGCAACAATCTAATTGGCTACAAATGCATCAGGAACCAATCAGCTTGTCCCATGTAGTTAACGATGTAATTGTCAGCAGGTTGTATTATGGACCCATCAGTCTACGCCATCGTTTAATGACAGATTTTCCCTAATTGTGTCGTATATATGAGAGTGAAACGGCTTCGCAAACAAGAAAACATGTATGGATGAGGTTTGATTTTGTCCATCGGGAATTGATTGGATGGTTGTGGTTGGCTATTGCAGTGATGTCATGCGAGTGACGACGCCCTCACGGCAGTAAACATGTAGGAGGGTAAGTTAGAATGAATGCACAGTGCACACATAAATCATTTATGACAAAATAGTCAACTGCAATATTCCATTAAAAGAATTTAAATGTCAAATTAGATTTCATTTTGACTTTAAATGAAAATATAGCTGGTTGTAAAAGAGTCTGATGTGAATTTAAAATCTTCCAAATTTATTTAACTACCATTTAAGCAACATTATTGGGAAATTAAGGCTTTAGATGGCTTTAGTTTAAATTAATAACGTATGATTTCAGACAGAATTACTTTAAAGAGATGTCACTTCTTACTGTGGTTTAAAATTACTTAGGCCCTACTGTACATTATAGTACATATTTTGGTTGAAAAATATTGATATCGTCTAAAGATATTGGTCATATTACCAATGGTAGAAAGTCAACACATAAAAAAACCCCAGTAAACTATACATCAAGGTCTCTTTTGTCAATAAAGTTCATTTGTTAACTACCAAACTAACAATTAGCAATACAGTCATTCATTGTTTGTTCATGTTAGTTCACAATGCATTAATGTTAACAAAAAAACTTTGGATTTTAATAATGTATTAGTAAATGTTGAAATGAACAGGAACTTAATAAATGCTAGAAGTATTGGTCATTCGTAGTTCATGCTAACTAAAGTATAAGTATAACTAATAATTATTGTTTGTTTTTGTATAGTGTTACAAAAAAAAATCCTATAACAACAAGACTTCATTACTCTTTCACTCCAGCTTAAGTTTCCAAAATAATATGCCGGTTGCTTTAGAGTGGACCTCCTGAGCATGTCTGGACAGCACTATAGCTGGCTTATTATGAGACACATCGTTACAGGATAAAGTGGATTAGAGATTTAGTCTTGGGTATTTTTTCTTCTTTCTATCCCTATATGGAAGGATTTTTACAGTGGACAGAAGTACACAAATACCACACAAATGGGCATTGTGTCTAGCTTTTACATTTGTATCTAATGTATAAAAAATGTATATACGCTTCATCTAATGTCATGTCATTAGGCCTCCTCCATCAAACTACAATTACATTAGGCTGTTCACACACCTTCCTGACAGCACGTTTCTTATGTTTTATGGTGTGTTTGGTTGCTTGGTAACAGTGGATTTTCGCCAAGGCTCAATTTATGGCGCTCTCTTTGATTGTAGGATACGCAGCAGTTTCCATTTGAGTTCAATCTCTGACATTATTAGTAAGACGTACTCTGATAATTACGGAATAATCAGCAATCAGACAGCATAAAGTTTGCAACATAATGTTATTTATATATATATATATATATATATATCAATATCAAAAGTACAAGATCAATATTTTCATCTGTTTTTGAGGAAAAAAAACTATAATATAATTTGATAAATTCATGAGATATAGCATATCACTTTATTCTATAAAATCTATTTAGTTTGGATTATTTTTTTGTACATTTAAATAATACATATTATTTTATATTTTAATGTCAGGTGGTTAAAAATGGTTGTTGATAACAGAAACCAAATTTGCCCTGAAATGTGTATATTCTCAAATGTCAGGGTGGCACAAATGCAAACATGCATGCTTTTATGAATTGGCAAGGTAATAACAGTAAACTTAATGGATAATATAGCATCCAGAGTAGCCCAACTGATCCTTGTGGCAGAGAGAAAAGGTTTGTCTCTCTCAAATGGTATAATGGCACATTTATGTGATTGTATACAGTAAGTATATGCAGCACCCTGATAGTTCAACATGTCAGAGATACAGCTGAAGGAGGTTCGAGAGGTTGTCGGGAAAGCATGAGCAAGCTCTGCTCCAGGAGTAAGTGCCACTTCATACAAAGTGTACAAGAACTTCATACAAAGTGTCCTAAACTCCTGCTACGTCTGTGGAAGATCCTGTGTGTCATCTGGAGGAGGGGTAGGATTCCTGAACAGTGGAGAGTTGCTGAAGGGGTCTGGATTCCGAAAGTCCAAGAAAATAGACCAGTTCCGCATCATCTCCCTGTTGTGGA